TTCCTGGGTAGAATACGAGAAGAATGTAGAACAAAGAGTTTTATGGTTACAAAAAAAAAAAAAAAAAGCCTGTACCTTCATTCTAAATTATCACATTTTAAGCAAAAGGGAGGGGGTTGTGTCACAAGAAATATAATAATTTTGAGACTGAAAGATGTAAAGCACAATAGTTTTTCAATTTCAAAAACATCATGGCTCACAATAAAGTTTTACGTTTACAGACCAAAGATATAATTAATATGAGGATGGACTTTTGCTCATCAAAAAACAGGAGAAAATTTATTCCCACAGAAAAGTGAGGGAAAAAAAAAAAAAGAAACTGATGAATGGGCTATAGTTAGCAGAAAGGAAAATGTACCCCACTGTCTTTTGGGTGGCAGACCTACTTATTCAGAAGAGATGCTTTTTAAGATTTAAAATAAAAAAGGGCAAAGGGTGAGCATGAAGAAAGGACATAGTCTACATTCTATCCTCACCCATGGAAGCAGGAGGGCATTATGCTAGGATGTCTTAAGCTCTCTCTAAGAGCTCTCAGGAGGGCAGATACTTGGAGGGGTTTTTAATAATAGCCTAGGAGGTGGGGGTATCAGACTAAGGAAAAAGGGACAAAGGGAGGAAGAAAGTGGGCAGAGGCAGGCATAGAAGAGGAACAGTTTTGTGGGGAGGGAAGATCAAAAGATATATTCACCATCACCACTCTTCCTTAGCTTGGAAAAAATGTCAAGTATGTCACCATTTGTGTGTAAGGGGGTAAGGTACAGGGAAGGGCCAGGGCAGGTGAAGGTACAGTTCCAAAGCTGATCAGTGCCTCGGCCTCGCAGGAGGTACTCAGAAATCCAGGTCAGATGTGGGGGAGGAGGATGGACATGGAAATATCTGTGTAAGAAATAGAACTGGGTGAGTTAGATTTGCCAGTACATGGGTATCAGAAACTGTAAGAAGCTCTATGCCTATGTAGATAAAAATTAAGAATACAGAAAGAGGGTCCCCTGAAGCAAGGAATGAGGAATATGCAGGTATGGGGTGGGAAGGAGATCTGAGTATAGGGCCAAGGAAGCCAAGCAGATTGGAAGCAGCCAAAGAATAGGGGTAAGGGGTATAAGAGGCCTGGAACAGGAAGCCTGGAGGTGGAGGCAGTTGTGAAGAGCTGGGTGCTTGGAGCAAGAAGAGACTGGAATAGTAGGGAGGTGGGGGACAAGAGGCAACAGACTGTAAAGAGTCCCACTGAGCAGCACTCAGGGTGCCAGGCCTGATCTTGAGGGGAACCGGGGTCTGAGCAATCAGTTCTGGGTTGGGAGTTCTCAGGTTCAGGGGCTAATAGAGAGAGGGTGAAGGGTCAGGTCTCCCATGGAGGAAACCAGAGGAGGAGAACACCGAGGCCTGAGGTTTGATCTCGGAGGATTTCTGAGACCGAGGAAAGGGGGGACATATCAGGTCTGGGAGAATCTGTCATGGGCCTAGTCATGGCAGGGGATGTCCCGAGTCACATGAATCCAATGAAGAATTCTTCAGGGTCTGAGAGGGATTGGTGGTGGGCTGATCTAGGCGCAACAAGGCAGGTCACCGGGAGGAAGTGTCCAGGTCCAAGTGGCGGGGGCTTCCAGATTCCCGGCGGTGAGGGGTCTGGTCATGGGCCTCCAAGTCTGGGGAGTGGGTCCCAGCCTGAGAGGGTAGGTCAGGGTTGGGACTCTCAGAGTTTGAGACACCAGCTGGGCAGTCCCGGCTGTGAAGTGCCGGGCACAGGAAGCCCCGGTGGCGAGGGCTTGATCGGCGGCCGCAGGCTCGAGGACCGCGGGCGGGCTCGGGCCATGAGCGCCGCGAGGAGGCCCTTGGGCCGCGGCCGCCGGCTGGCGCTCACCTGCAGCACCACCTCCACGTCATACGAGTTCCCCTTGCTCTTCTGGTGGCCGCGGAACTTGGAGCCACTGTAGAGGAGGCTGGTGGCCACGCCGGGTTGCTGCGTGTTGATGGGCGGCGGTGGGATGAGCGAGGCCGCTGAAGCGGCCGAGGCACCGGCCGGCGGGGGACACTCAGTACGGACCGGCATCGCGGGGTCCCCTGGAGCCAGGGCTGGGGGAGGGGAGACGAACCGCCGCCGCCGCGCGGGAGCCAAGGAGGAGGAGGGAGGAGGGGGCCGGCCGCGCACGCGCGGGTGGCCGCTGGGGGGACCACCCGCCCGCCGCTTGCGGACCAGAGCTCCGGCCGCCACCGGGACCCCGGGACCTGCGAGCAGGGCCTCCCAGTTCTGTGCCGGGCCCCTCCACTCGCCCGCGCGCCCGCGCGCGCCCGCGCGCGCACACATACACACACGCACCCCACACACACGCGCGCGCGCGCGCACACACACGCACACGCACGCGCGCGCGCACACAGCACTTTCGGATTGGCTCAGGCGCGCGAAGGGCCGAACCCAGGTTCACGCGACACGTCTACCCATTGGTGGGCTGAGCAAACACGTGGGGGGATGCGCGATCGGGCCTCTGGGACTTGTAGTCGTCTTCTTGAGGCGCGGCGTGGAGGGGCGGGGCGAAGGGCGTTTGTGATGCTGATTGCCCAGGGTGGGCGCCGTGGCGCTCGGGAGTGACCTCGTGCAGGTAGTGTCATGCGGAAGATGGCCGCGCCCAGGGCGTCTGAGGACCTTGGAAATCAGTGAGAGACGATTCCGAGCAGCCTGCGTGCGCGGCGTGAGGATCCCTGCGTTCAGTGTGTGCTTCGCTCACGCTTCACTCGCTGCTTCCTCGGAGACCCATGGGCGAGATGTGGCGGCGCTGCTTTCAGCTACGGCAATGGGGACGCCGCCTCCTGAAACATCCCCTAGGTGGTCCCATCGACCACGCGGTGTCAGGGCCAGCCCCCCAGCTCTGGGCCCGGGCCTACGTCCCCCCAACAGGTGAGGCAAGGGCGCGTCCCTTTTGGGCTAGGATCGGAGCCAGAGTTGGTGAGTTGAGGGCTCAGATTCTGCCTCAGGCCGGGAAAGTGAAGCTAGAGGGACAAGGACTGCCTGAGGAGGAACGTGGCGCGTCACGGCAGAAAAACAGTCATTAACAATTTGCCTCGCGTTTTTTCCTCAAAGCTTGTAACGAAAGTAGATATCATTCTTGTTTTTAAATGAGTATATTCGGGTTCTGGATCGGGACTGAGGGTCACTGAGCAGACTGTGCGAGAGGTTGTGGAGGGCAAAGGCCAGCTGTCTGTGTCCTCAGCGCCCAGAACAGGATCCAACACGAAAGGGGCCCGGAACCTGGGCCTGCAGTCCTCCCCGCTGGCCACTTTGCAACAGATTTCCTGGTCCTCCCTCCAGGTGTTCTACCACCCCTGTCATCCTCGGCCTTCTCTGGTAAATGAAACACCACACCCCTCCTTCCTCCATCTCTGATTCTGATGAAGGCTGGGAGTAGGTAGTGCCTCTTGCATTGCTTCTGGGGGTAGGTTTTAGAGTAAGAGTGGCAATAACTTCTTTTAGTAAATGAAGAGTAATGACATTCTCCTTCCCTTCTGTTGGTTTTACTGTGCTAGGGCAGAAGATGCAGTGGTCTTCAAGACAAAGTGGTTCCTACCTTGGTGAGGGCAAGATATTACCGTGTTATCTTTAAATAGAGGTGGTAACATCCTGTTGTAAGAGGTGTACAAAGAAACAGAACACAAACAGCCACCTACACTTGTCTTGAGGGGCAGGGTTCAGGATCTAAAAAGGGTCTTAGGTGAAAGGACATTTAAGCTGAGATGAGTAGGAATTTGGTGAAGAGGAGGAGGAAGTGTTTTGTAGCTAAAACACATCCACAGGTGATAGAGAACACGGTGTGAGGAACTATGCCATATACTGCCTGCTTTAGAAAGTCCAGAACACAGGCAGTATAGCATTGTGGCAGGAGTACAAATCTGGGTTCTAAGGCTGGCTTTATGTCTGAGGTACTGGATTATTTTGGACAAACCACCCCTTCATTTGGGCCTCTGTTTCCTCTGAGTAGAAGGACTAGGCCACCTCTGAGGGGCATTCCAGTTGTTAAGATCCATGGATTTATACAAATGAGGAAGGATGTTGGATGCAACAGGGAGCTGAGTTTTCAACAGTTAGGACCCAGGTGAAGTGCTTGAAGGTCGGCCGTGATGAGCCAAATAAGAGGAAGAAGGAAGGGCATTCCGTGGAGGCACAGCATGGGCAAAGGAGACATGCTTAAGAGTTTACTGAGGTGGCAAAAGCAAAGGGTTGATTGAGGTTGTAGATAGATGCTTTCCATCATAGTGGCACTTGATCTACTCTCTCCTTTTCCTTTTTATTGCACACTTAATAGTTTAGGCTCTTAGCGCAGTACCTGGCAGATAGTAGGTGGTCAAACATGAAAGATAGTATGAGGTACAGTGGGAGGGAGGCCCATAAATCAGATCTATGCATGCTCTGCAAAGACCTTATTAGTGGTGAGGTTCTATGGGCCTTCTTGATTAAGACTTCAACTGATAAGGAGATTGACTTTAGCCATTTTGGAATGAACATACTATTGAAGGTTTTCAAAAGGAGAAGGGTGGTTTAGGTCTGTACTAGCTTGTCAGAGGTCCATTGACTGCTTGAGGTGGGAGGGGGTGTTCTTGAGGCAGCAAACACCATTTGTAAGTTGCTAGTCACCTGGACCAAATCATTGAGCTTCTCGGAGCCCCTATCATCACAGAGGCATTACTTGTGCTGTCTTCCTCATAAGGTGGTTGTGTGTATTGAGGGAGATTCTCTAGCCTGCTACCTGTTTTTGTAAATAAAGTTTTATTGGAATGTAGCCACATTCGAGCATTTGTATATTGTCTGCCTAGTTTCACTACAAAGGCAGAGTTGAACAGTTGAATGATTTATTGTCTGGCTCTTATAGGAAAAGATTGCCAACCTCTGCTTTAGATGCAAGAGCAGTTTGGAAAATGGAGAGTGCATTTAATCATTTAAATTAGTTGCTATGGCAGATATATTTGACCTGAAGTTTTAATTTTTAAAAAACAGTTTTATTACAATATAATTCACATACCATATACTTCATTCATTTAGCATACATTTGTTTTTAGTTTATTCACAGAGTTGTGCAGCCACCCCTACCACCACTCCTAGGCAGCCGCTAATCTACTTTTTGTCCCTGTATATTTGCCTATTCTGACGTTTCATGTGACTAGAATCATATAATACGTGGCTTTGGTGTCTGGCTTCTTTCATTTAGTACATTTTCAAGGTTCAGCTATGTTGTATGGATCAGTACTTTTTTTTTTTTTATTGCTGAATAATATTCCTTTGTATGGAAATACTATATTTTATTTACCCATTTATCTGTTGGCGGACATTTGGGTTGTTTCCACCTGTTGGCTGTTGTAATCATAATGCTGCTTTGAACATTTATTTACAAGTTTTAGTTTTTGTGTGGCAAAAAAAAAAAAAAAAACCAAAGTCACAGCTATTGAGTGGATTCTGACTCCTAGTGACCCCCATTGGATTTCCAAGGCTGTAAATCTTTATGGAAGCAGATAGTCTCATCTTTGTTTCGCACAGTGGCTGGTGGGTTAAAATCACGGATCATTTGGTTACCAGCCAAATGCCTTAACCACTACACCACCAGGGCTCCCTTTTGTATGTGGCCAGCTTTTAAAATTAAATACTTTTCACATATCCATTTCTTTGCATCAGTTTAGTCCACACATTGTTGCTTAAAACACTGTATATGTGTGTTTGCCGCACATGTTCTATAAAGGAGCAATTTATACTCAAAATGGACCTGGGTACGCATGTTTAGCTGTTTCCTCTCTGGAGCCTGCTCCCATTGCCCTTGGCTAGCCCTGTCTTCACTAAGAGTGTAGAAGCTTCACAAACTCCCCTGCATCTCACAATTTGTCCTATGTGACTCTAGATCTTTGGGGGCTCAGGCGAATAACTCCCATCTTTATTTATTTTTTTTATTGTGATTTGGCTGAAAATTTACAGAGCAAATTCACTTTCCATACAGCAGTTCATATACACTTCGTCCCATAACATTGACCACAATCTACCATAATGCAACATCTCCCCTCATAATTCCTCCCAATAGTCACCTCTTCCCTGTATCCATCCCTGCAGGCACTCCTGCCCCCTGAGCTGTCTCTCTGTGCATAAGCAGCCCCTCTCTCTCCCATGATTTTTCTCTCCAAGGAGTGCATCCACCCCAGGCAAATGTTCAACTCACATACCTATCTATTGCCTGTCTGGAAGCTACAGGCATGGGCTGAACTCCAGACCTGAAGGGCAGCCAGGGACCACAGTCCCAGTAGTTCCACCCAGGCTCCATCGGACCACCAAACCTGGTTCCCCTTTTTTTTTTTTCTCCAAATGATCCTGAGCTCTGCTCCACACTGCTCTCCCTCTCCATCCAGGATCTCCCACACAGATCCCCTTCCAGGTGGTTAACAGTAGTAGCCGCGCACCACCTAGTTCTTCTGCTTTCATAGTCGTATAGCCTGCAGATCGGATGGTGCACCAGTCACTAGGACCAACTGTTTCCATGAATCCCTGGTCTTCTTCATTCTCCCTTCTTCTGGACAAAGAGAGATCCATTGTTGCATCTAGATGGCAGCTTACAAGCCCCTAAGATCCCAGTTGCCACCCACCAAAGTAGGAGGTGGAACAATGTTCTGTGTAGTATGCTATGCCAATTGAGCCCACTGTCCCCTGCGACCACAGTCCCAAGCCCACAGGTTAAACCACTCAGTCCCTCTTGGTAGCTGGCCGTGACCAAGCAGTGACCACAACCTTGCCCCTTGTCAGCTCCACTATACACCTGGGAATTCATATCATACAAATAAACTCATAGGACCATTGTCTGCCAACCCTAAACATATTCTTGGGTATACTCCCTGCTTCACAGACATACCTAATAGTTCAGCCTGTCCACCAGTCTTGTTGTTGTTATGTTGTTGTTATGTGCCGTCGAGTCGACCCCGACTCATAGCGACCCCTCCTTGGGTTTCCGAGGCAGCATCACTACGGAAGTAGGATTGCCCAACCTTCCTTCCGAGGAGTGGCTGGTGGGTTTGAACCGCCAGCCTTCTGGTTAGCAGTCAAGTGCTTTAGCCACTATGCTACCAGAGCTCCTGTCCACCAATCTATCCACCCGTAAACCCGTTTCCCTTCACTGGCAACGGTGTGCTGTATGTGCAAAACAGTTCATCTTTGTTGTCTGTACTTCCCACGTACCTCTCTTATGTTTTTTTCTTCCTCAATGCTGCCATATTGGTCACTCACATTTGGGACATTGCCCTCCTCTTCACCCAAATCAATACTTATCTCTATCTATCTAACAGTATTCCCTCCCGTCCCCTCCCACCCCTGGTAATCAACAAAGAAAATTCCCTTCCATAGATAAACCTTTCCTTGACTTTTACAATAATAGACTAATACAATATTTGTCCTTTTGTGATTGACTTATTTCACTCAACATAATATCCTCCAAGTCCATCCACGTTATGCGGTGTTTTGCACATTCTACATTATTCTTTAGTATTGCATAGGATTCCATTGTGTGTATGTACCATAGTTTGGTTATCCATTCCTCAGTTGATGGATCCATCTTTTGGCTATTGTAAATAGTGCTGTGATGAACATGGGTGTGCATATATCTGTTCTTGTCATGGCTCTCCCTTCTTTAGGGTATATATCTAGTAATGGAATGGCTGGGTCAAATGCTATTTCGAAGTCCACCTTTTGAAGGAATCGCCATACTGCTTTCCACAATGGTTGTACCATTTTACAGTCTCGCCAGCATTTGTTATTTTCTGTCTTGTTGAACTTT